TGACATTTTAAACACACAGATACTCAAGCTAGGGCAATGCTATCAGAAATACCAGAAGTTATAAGAGGTTATACAGTGATACCCTTTGCACAGAAGTCATTTGTACGGCACCGCAAAGTGTGTAGATCGTCCTTGCTGTTGTCACGAGTCAACGTAACATTCTGAACCACAATCTATTATCTGTCGGAGAGGCCAACGTCACCTAACGTTTTCATTGTACCGTAAAATGGGGTGTTAAGGGACAGTGGGGTGTTAAGGGACAGTTGCATGGGAAAAACTTTGAGTCATATTAACTTCCTAATTTGAGAAGGTTCAATAAAAACTTCAGTGTGGTAGTTGACACTGTTTTGCTCTTGACCATAGGACAAAATGGTATGGTTTTTCATGCAAGTGATTTGGTTCAAAAATGGATTTGAAAATCATGCTACATTTTCACAAAATTGAAACATCTCCAAAACTCTGTGTGTACCACATAAACTGGTGGGTGTACAGGGAAAATGAATGCATAGGTGTATTGTCACATGTATTGCACATGTTTCCTGAAAAGCTTGTGCAAATCCACCCATTCATTCATCATGCTCTTCCTCTTTTCCGGATACATGCATATTTTGAGGTGGATGTGGGGTGCTAAGGGACAGGGAAGAAAAAATAGAAAATAATATCTAAATATAATTTCATTAAGTTTTCTTTCAGTAGGCATGGAAAACACCAAATTCCACATAAAATGCTGGCAAGTTCATGCTTTTATCTCTAACACATCTTAAGTTATGTAACAAAACATCTCAACACTCTCTTTTACAATGATGGGTCAATGGAGACTGATGTAGGTAAATGTGATGTCATCATAAAAAGGCTAAAACAAAGAGGGCAACATAATGACAAGTGACTAGCTTCAACATGGGTTTTAATTGATGACAGAAGATTACTTTTTGGTTCTGTTTACTGTATAATTAGCACATTTTCCACAAATGTAAACTGCATTACACGTAATTGGCTAAAAAGGTCATTAGTGGTGAATGAACCTGACTTGTTTTGTGACAGAATATGCAAAACATTTCAATAAATAAATTGTGTGCCCTTCCACACCCCAATTGTGGGCATTTGATGACCATTTCTTGGAATAATATAGGTGTCCCTTAACACCCCACATTGGGGTGCTAAGGGACAGTGATGAAAAATAATAAAAAATAATATGCAGGTATAAATCTTAAAAACTTTAATGTGGCAGGCATGTAAAGCACCAAATTCCACATAAAACGCTGACAATTTGATGCTTCTATCTCCAACCCTTCTTGAGTTATATAACAAAACACCTCGAAACTGTCCCTTAACACCCCATTTTACGGTAGTTAATTCAATCTGATTAGTGTCACGCCATCTCATAAAACACTTACTCTTCACATTTGGTTGGGTTAGGTTAGGTTTTTTAGGTTATTTCCGCCACATGTGAGTATCATTTTTGGATTCCGGATGTCAAATAATGTAAGGAAGTGCAAATTTTATCTTCGAACAGCAGACCGTACTAATTCTCCACATTTACCGACTTGTTAACCTCTGGAAGTCTTCCTGCTGATGTTGTCACTGCTCCAGATCTGCAGTCTTTCAAACGAGGCCTAACAGATGCCATTCCGGACAAACTTGTTGAATATGTTTAGATGTACCTAAGTAAATTGTTATATTGTTGTGATAATCTCCTGTGAAAAAATGATGTTTCAAACCATGTACTCCTCAATGGTGGCACAACATTCCAGTTCAATGTATGGCAAGACTGCAATGGTGTACTGTACAGCATATGCATAACTGGCGCGCCTTGTGATGCAGGGTACCTCCCATCCTCAACCATCCTGTGAGCCAATTTGAATTCTGTACTGACTGTTGTAGTGGATGGAACCCGACAAGGTTGAGGTGAGTTGACAAGGTGAGACAGACTATGAGCAGTGTCTCAAGTAAATACTTGCCATTTCTACCGACTACCTTATAGCAGACTCACTATTGCAACTCTGCCATGCGAATCCAACTTGCATCTAGCTGTGGAATACTTGGCGCAACTCTCTGTCATTCACCGTTTCCTTACTTCTCGATCTGATGGAAGGAGGATCAAGGCCCTATATACCAGGTAGGGTCGTCCGGCGATTCTACCTTTTCGTGACGTCAGCTCGTGACGTCATTTGGAGTCAAGTCTCGAAGCCCCGTTCAATCCCCATGTAAATGAGCGATTTTCGAAGCACTATAGAATGAAGTCTGCACAAGATATATCAAACCTAAGTATCTTGTCTGAAAGAGCAGACAATTTTCTGCAAGTTATCTATTACGTGTTTTTCGCTAAATCTTTTGCTTTTTTCACAAAAGCGTAAAATGTCCCCCCATGTCTCCGCAGCCTCTCTGCCGCCGGCCGCCGCGCGGTCGCGGTAGTGTAGTGGTTAGCGTGCCCGCGCAGTATTCCAAAGGTCCCGAGTTCGAATCTATGCGGTGCGGAACTTTAATTGCAATTCCAAGCTGAATATACGCACATCCATAATAAATTATTATTCGTATAGCTAAACTGTCACCAAGCTATCCATATAAATTGACTTCACCCAAAATATCGGCAAGATTCTATTAAAATATAAATTCAAATATGGCGGCTTGGACTGCCGCGTGCGTTAGGCTCCGCCCATAGCTCCGCCCACATGCGTGACGTCATTCGTGTTAGTGGACACGCGCGGAGATAGGGGACGACATGGGCCTGAGGAGGATATGAAACAGGAGAGTCTAACAGGTGAGCATCAGCACATCATCAGACATGTGCTTACCAGAGGGGTGTTCACGGGCACCGCACACTGCTGCGTGCGGTGTGTGCGGAGCGTCCAGCAGGCGTGGGGGTAGGGAATGGGTAGGCGGCTCTGACGTCACGGCTGCGTGCGGTGGACGGTTCGCTGTGGCCAGTCCCGACCGGCCACAGCGATCGCTGTGTGCGGTGACGGAAGGCTGACGTAGGGACGCAGTGGGCGGAGCTTGGAGGCTGTGTGCGGTCCGACCGCACACAGGGCCCGTGAACAGCCCTCTGATTATTTGAGCAAATAGACCTTCGATTATTCGATTAAAACCAGCACAATATCACACCACGATATTCACACAGAAATATTGTTTGCGCCAATTTGGTCTGCCATGCGTCATAAAGCCAATCAATTGATTCTTATTTTTGATCTTTGATTTCTCAGTTTTTTAGGCTTGCCGCGCTTAGATTTTATCACCATCGTGATCAGGAGATTTTAATCTATCGCTGGGATAAATTTCAATAGATTCCTAGGGGTCCGCACATAAATTTTATTTTGTAAAAGGCAACCACGCATAATTTGGTAATGTCATATCTCAGCTCGTAGGGCGTGCCGCGCCTAGATATTAACACCATTGTGATCAGAAGATGAAAATATATAGTAGAAATGAGTTTCAAAAAATTCCTAGGGGTCCGCATACAATGTATTTTTGATAATGGGCAACGGTGCGTGACCTTTGACCTCTTATGACTCCGTTCGTAGGTCGTGCCGCGCTTATTTATAATCAACATCGTAATCAGAAGATTTTATTGTATCAGTGGACCAATTTGCAAGAGATTCCTAGGGGTCCGCTGATAGTTTTTATCATTTTTTCCACGCGAATACGAATTTGACGCCAAATATACGCACATTCGGTTAGGAGTGGGTAGGGCTCCACTATCGTCAGTCCGTACTCGTAGTTATTTTTGCATATTTTGCTGAATTTGCCTGCCACCTATACTGTCTTTCGGGGAAATCAGTAGGCGACGCGGAAGCCTCGGTACCTCAATTATCGTTCCGGACTAATGCCATTTGCCACTTGGCGTGCATCCTGCACGCCAAGCCCGCCAAGCGGCCAGGGTTGTGCTCGACTCAGAAAAATTTGCCGACTCGACTCATCATTCAACTTCAGAAAGCACTGACTCAACTCTGACTCAAACAAGGAGCTGATTTTTTCCCTTGACTCGACTCATGACTCAAGCGGCTTAATGAAAATATGAGTTGACTCAAACTTGACTCAATTTTTTTTTTTGTTGAGTCAAGTGTGTTGACTCAAAATTGACTCAGATAAAAAAGTTGTTGAGCGGGGGGGGGAGGGTGAAAAAAATCCGGCAGCACGGCCAGGCCTAAGTTGAGCGGGGGGAGAATGAATATATATATATAGTTTTTAGAAAGTTGAGTCAGCTGACTCATGTTCCTTAATGTTTTTGACTCAACTCAATGTCAAAAGTTATTTACTGACTCAACTCTGACTCGACTCAACACCTTAATATTTTTGTCCGACTCAACTCTGACTCAACTCAACAGCTCAACATTTTATCCGACTCGACTCAAATCTGACTCATTTGAGTCAGAGTTGAGTCAAATTTCTGACTCGACTCATGAGTCAAGCACAACCCTGCAAGCGGCAGACTTCTCAAGCAGAGGCGGCGGAACGGGGAGGGCACCGGGGCACCGTGCCCCCCCTTTGATTTTGGCATTTTAACACTAGCCCTATGGGCGTTGTATGGAAAGAATGGGCCCAAAAGTCGGCAGTGCCCCCCCCCCCCCCCTTAATTGAAGGTGTTCCGCCGCTACTGTTCTCAAGTTTTGAATTACCAGGCAAGGCCCTATATACCTTACCGGGGTTGGACAGCAGCAAGGCGCCGTGGCACCTGAACAATGGTGAGCTCCTTCAACTCTCCGGACGTCGTTACATAGCACGCGGAAATCCCCCCCCCCCTGCCTTTTCCGGCAGCTGTGAAAATGCGAGACGAATAAGCGAAAAGGAAAGTCAAGCTTCGCATGCCTGATACCGTTTAAGACATCGTTCCACGAGTCCTCAGAGTCAGCACTATAAAAAGGATAACGCATACGTCGCCGGTCAATATTTTGCAATATGCAGCAATCGAGGAGCTGGTTATACCTGTCGCACCTAATATAATGTATAGACGAGATATTGACTTGCTTTATCTCGGCATCAGGATCAACGAGTCGATATAGAACTGCACTTTTCGTAGCTGTATTTCGACGGTTCAAATGTACCTCATTCGAAAACATTTCCAGAAGACCAAGCATGAACACAAGAAAGCTCTAAAATATCACCAATCAATAGGCTCTGACTGAGAGCGACGTCTTTCTACCAAGGTGATACAGAAAGATGCATCATTGACCCTAAAAGGCTTCGAAATAACCAATTCACTGACTAAAATAACATCACAGATGAATGTACATTATGCGTGATACGCGTGAGCAAGCAAATCGAAAGACTTCATTCTAGCATCGACTAGATTCTTTGCAAAGACAAGTAAAACTTGACGAGAACAGTAGCAAAAACGATTAGGTAATCACAGCACATAATAATATTAATGCACTTCAACACATATCAAACAGCTGACTAAACTAAGCTACTAAAAGGCATATCGTCAATTGTAACTACATACACCGAAACATCGTCCCTCCAAGACACAGCAGTATTGCATAAAACCCGCCATAATTGACCTCGTTTGCCACAGAGCACCTCTGGGTTCCTTGGAACTCGTCACGCGAAGAACGTACATCGCGGGAGTAGCACATATTGCCAGTACACCTCAATCGCGTTTTGTACAATCTCCAGAACTCTTCAACCAAACCGAACCACTGCATGGACACGTATGTCACTCATTCCACCGTTGTCTTTGATGAATTCTGTCTCTGATGCGATGATTCTGTCTTTGATACGACACTACCAGCGCGCTGGCCGTGGCTGTGGGGGCCTCTGGCGCCACACCAGTCGCGGCACTGGTGCAGACCAGCGACTCTGCGGGGCCGACTGGGGCGCCGCCGGCCGCCACCCGCCCGCCACCGCGGAGGAGGTCGGCTGGATGTTTGTGGGGGTCGGTGGTCGATTCCACGGCGCCGCGCCCGCCTGCCATGGCGACGGATGGCGGGGAGACTGGGACAGTTGGTGGGAAGACTGGGACGGATGGCGGGGAGACGGTGTCTGATGGCGGGGAGACGGTGCCTGATGGCGGGAAGACGGTGTCTGATGGCGGGGAGATGAGAAAGACTGGTGGGGAGACGGTGTCTGATGGCGAGGAGACGGAGAAGAATGGCTGGGAGACGGTGTCTGGGGCAGGCGATGATGGGGAGATGGGACAGGTTGATGGGGAGACTGAGAACCATTGCTGGGAGGCGGTGTCTGGTGGCGAGGTGGTGGGACAGGTTGGCGTGGATATGGAGACGTATGGCGGGGAGACTGGGCAGACTGGTGGGTAGTTGGAGGTGCATGACGGGGTGGTGGAAACGATCTGAAGGGAGATGAGGACTGATTGCGGGGAGACTGAAGCGGCTGGTGGCAAGATAGGTCAGACTGGTAGGAAGATGGGTCAGACTGGTGAGAAGCTGGGTCAGACTGGTGGGAAGACGGAGTAGACTGTCGGGAAGACGGCGGCGGATGCTGTGGAGGCGGGAAAGACTGTAGGGGAGGTTGGACAGATTGGTGTGGAGATACCGACTGGAGGGGAGGCGGCTGATGGGGCGAAAACGCAGTCTGTCGGGGAGAGGGAGACGGCTGTCGAGGAGAGTGGGACGGAGCTGGCTGCCATGGAGGAGCCGTCACACCGCCGGGCAGAGAGGGTCCGATCAGCCGGTGCGGCGAGGCCGAATGTTGTCTAGGGGAGAAGGGCGGCCGGTGGTTGGACGGAGTGGACGGACGCAGGCCGGGGCTCGGCGCCGCGCCGAGGGCCGCAGCTGGCACCGACCAGTCCTGCTGCTGTTGCTGCTGCTGCTGCTGCTGCTGGGTGTCGGTATCTGTGTTCGGTGGTGGACCAGGCGGCAGCGGCGGCCTCTGCCCCCAGTCGGAGGGCCAAACGGTCGCTCCATCAGCCGCTGGAGCCGCAACCGAGTCCGGAGCGGCGTTCGACGTCTCATCAGTGCCCTGCGGCGGACCAGGCGGCCAATTGCTCATGTGGAACGGCCCCGGCGCTGGACAGACGCCTTCAGTCGTGGCCTGAAACACAGAGCGGTATCAGCAACGGATCACCGCGGTGCGAAACGTGGATGGGTGGCACGGATACCACAGGTACAGACTACAGACAGAACATTCGTACCGAACAGATGGCATAACAATACAAAAAAACTCCGATAAAAAATAGTTGGCGGTGCCAGTTTTAGTCACCGGTTGTTATCGACTTTATTGACTGATATGTATGTCAGATAAATGTCGCTATGGGCGGCTGCGTTCGCGGTCTAGCTTCAAACATCACCCTTCATCCCAACTTCTTTGTTAGCTTTCATTCCTTTTTCAGAGGCGGATCCAGCTCAGAGGTTTGGGGGGGGGGGGGCAAACCATAAAAATTTATCGATTCTTTCCATGCATCGTCCATAGGCGTAATGTTAAAATCATGCCGTTTGGGGGGGGGGGCAAATGCCCATTTTGCCCCCCCCCCCCCTGGATCCGCCACTGCCTTTTTTCAAGCGTCACAAATATGACTGATTGATTGCGATCAATCGGGTACTTATTTTAAGACGTATTTTCTTTATAAACGTTGCAGCTTATAAGTTTCTTATTTCATTGAGTCCGATTGGTAAATATAAATGTCAGCTGGCCATTTACAGCCGAGAGTTGGTAATTTGCCCGTCCTTCAAAACTTCGTCGGTCATTTGGCTAATTAGCTGGCATGCTGGATAAAGCGGTCAGCGAAAACGGTTGCGGAATTCACTAGTATGATGCAATAATCGCAGTAAGCACATCGAAAGGTGTGCCGTATACGTAACTAGTAAATAGTTTCCCATCATTTCCACAACATTGCCGCGACAGCGAAAATTCGAAGTTAAACTCACCTGGTAAGCGGCAACAGTCAGCCACAGCAGTACAAGGCATCGTTCTCTCAGCCAGTATGATCATGCTTACACCGCCCCAGGGCATCGGCAGCTTTGCAGCAGTTTTGAAGACTGTAGTTTTGGGTCCACTGAATGTATTATCGATAACGCAGGCTAAACCTCTCAAACCAAGCTTTCTTTTGGCCATCCGCAATGCACAATGCACATAGAGTAGATCGGGAGACCCCACTGATGGGCCCTCGATACACGCGGCGTAAAATGGACCAAACTCAGGCTCCAGTTGACCTCCAAACAGACATACAACCACTTGCCAAACACACCTACGAAGCCACAGTCGGGCGTAATCGGTCGGCTGCCCTGTCGACCAACCACTCACGACATCGAGTCAATGACACTGAGTTTGTTTGGGCGTCGCCCATTCGGAACGTTGCGATGGTAAAATGTGATTCCGTCTCGCTCTAACTAGACGTCCCTCCATAAGCCGAATTAACCGACCCCACTAATACCACAAACGTCGTCAGGCTCCGTCGCAGAGCCACAACGCCGCGCAAAAATGTCCAGAAAAACGCGTCCAAACGGTTTGTGAAGCCATATCACTCAGCCCTGAACGACTCGCTCGGGCTAAGAGGATCGCTCGGGCTCAAAGTGGCGTAAAACAGCAGACGGTCGCGCCGCGAGCCGCCTCAGATGTACTTGGTTTTAGTGAGGGCCGACTCGCCAAAGGTCGGGTCGGTCATGCGGTTCCAGTCGGTCTGACCGACCACGAAACCCATGTCGCGCATCTTGCGCTGTTGGTTCTTTTCTTCGACGTCGGCCCAGCGCACCTGAAACATACCGGCTCGGCGGGTCAGACAGCGTCCAGCGGACAAATTGAGACGCGACGGTCACGCCGGCAATTTTCAACTGAAAAGTTGCAAAAAAAAGAAAAGAAAAGAAAAGAAAACATCAAAAAGCTTGATAAAAATAAATAAGGAACTAATAAGACGACTTCAGTCGTAGACAAGATCTGGCATATAACTAAACTCTTATCAACTTCAAGAATACGAGGCTTGAACTTTACGTGATATTGGGAATTTCAGGTGCGATCACTAGCCCGGCTTGATGACTAATGTAAAAAAGATACATGAAAGAACCCAAGAAGACGAAGTCTAGTACGAATAGTTTGCTTCGATCGTTCCACCACCAGAAATTCTAAGACAACTTAAAAGTTCTGAAAGAAGATGGCAAATGAGTAATGAGTACTGATCATTCATCAGTAATCTACGAAGTCGTAAAACGCTGGCTGAGAGCTTAGTCGCTTCAGATTGGATAAGTCGGATAATTGGGTGCCTCTCTGACCAATGCATCCGGCGCCTCTCCGTACCCGTTTTTTGCCGGTGGTGCCGGTGCGACTTTCGTAGTCGTCCGGCAGGGACAGGTAGTCCTCCATGGTCTGCGGGTGGGCGTCCTTCCGCTTCCGCGCGGCGATCACACCGTCCAGCTTGTCTGCAGCGCAAGGGCGGACGGACGGTCACAAACGCATCGCAAAACCATCAGGCATGAATAGAAAATACCAGACGTGAAGAAAAATCAAAAGATCGAAAATGTTTTTTAGATGTAGAGCCAAAAGTGCTTACCTAGTCGCTCTTCTGACGGATCCATCTTCTCCCACTTGCTGACAGTGACGTCTTCTTCCTGCAGTGTTTGAGAGTGGACGCATGACTACAGAGATGCCGCATCGCTAGGCGAGTGCCGCACACACATTCGGTACTACTTATTACTTATGACGATTCGCTTGAGCAGTGAGACGTTTCACTGAGCAAAATTTGAAACCCAGCATATTATTAAGCCTTTTTGTGATTTCACCACTGATGCTCTAATCTTCAAAGATATGCATGCACAAAACAAAGTCACATATCAAGGACTTCAAACATGATCACACTGAACACATTTTACCAGTTTTAGTGCTAACATGACCGACACTATCACTTCACATGAATATATCTTCATACAGATTGCACGGATCATAATATCATAAAAATAAACATTCGCACATCAAAGCAAAGCGATGCACCAAGCACTTCACCAATTTAACACTGCACTTGTTCACTTATGCACTTCCACACTTTGTTCGTAGTTCACTTATGAGTTATCCAATGCGTAGGGTTACTCGCTTTATTCAATAGTTCTTAGTGGATGTGCAGGGCTGCAGGCATTGTGTTCCGTTTATTGACACTCCAGTACATCCAAACAGGTCATAACACATTTTGTGGACAGTGAAGGATACCACAATCAGCGTTACAACAGCTCAACGAATATCGATATGTAACACAAGAGTTATAATGAACAATGGATACACATAAAAAGTGGTACAGTTAAATTCACATTTTCTGTCCGATCAGCACTGATCAGTTATTGTGCACAAAACTGGTTTAAAAATGAAAGACCGTCTACACCAGCACCTCACTTCCTATCGCCAGCGAGCATGGCTCCAGACCAGCCGGCTGGGTCCCCTAGGGATACCCCTTTCACTGACAGTAAATAACACGGGCACAGTGACTGGGGACTGTCTTCTCCGTCGGCACCATCACACTGCACCACGAACTGTTGATCTTGCCGTTTCACTGATCACTGAGCACTGGCACCACTTGGCTTCTTCTTAACCACAGCACACTCACTCATTTTGGACAGCACACATCACTCGCACCCTCTCCCTCCCTCCTCCCGCATCCGCCCTACCACCGTCAATCGCCACAGTCCCATCTGTCCTGAACAGTCACCTGAGTCAACATCCCGCCAGTCCCGCCACGACCGCGTCAGTCTTATAATGTGTCTGATGTTCGTCTCCAGCGTGAGTTGCGACCGACAGTCTGTTGAATTCACCCCCAAACCCTAGTGTGGTTGATTTGAGAACTCGTGGTATCAGGACAGGCACCCACACTTATGTCTATTCCCATCTGTTCATGCAACGTCTTTATTCCATGTCGCCAGCTGTCATTGCTTCATATAAATGCATACCCCGAATAACCTTTTACCGTCGCCTCTTCCCGTTCGGTACTTCTAACATGTATCGTCACAGCTATCGTCCGGTCCCCAATGTCGACCACTCTGCCCCTGACCGGTGTCGGCTCCTCCGTCTCCTAAGCCCGCTGTTCATCACGTCTCGCCTCCCCAGTCTTCCGCCCTCCTCTCCCAGTTGTCTGTCCCCTCCCCCAGTTGTCTGTCCTCTTCCAGTTGTCTGTCCTCTCCCCCAGTTGTCTGTCCATCTATCCCAGTCGTCTGTTCTCTACCCAAGCCGTCTGTCCGTCTCCCTCAATCGTCCGTCCCTCTCCCCAGGCAGACCTGTGGCGCCCCTGAACACTCACCCCGGGTACAGCTGGCTCGTCGTTGTTCTTTCCGGCTGACGGCTTCTCCGGCTCCGTGTCCTCCATCTCCACCTGGTAGCCGCGAGTCACAAAGGGTCACATTATGTTACAATGGTGTTCACAGCTATAACTAAGTGCTACACTACATGGTGTTACGTATTGTTACTTGGCGTTGCATGTCGATACAAGGTGTCAAACAATGACGCACAGTGGCCCAATCTTATAAAATGCCTTACTATTCTATTCACGGCATTTGGTAATATTGACAGTGACACCAGTGCCGACAAATGGTTATCAGAGTCGACAAAATGATTCTTTGGACTGTCAACATACCATGGACTGAAATGCGTGAAAACCATTTTGCATTTGATAGCCGTTTTCTGCAGCTGAACTTCAGCCAGTGCTGCCATATCCATTCCACGGCGTTTATATGATTGAGCCAGTAGGGGAAAATGGGATGCGGATGCGTGGCATCAGATTTTACGTTTACTTTGAGTTCCTTTACTTCGCATCTGCTTAGAATAAGATCATCCGTTGATAACATATTTATCAAATATGCGTGCTGCAATCTCAGCCTCAAAGAAAGTTTAAATACATTGACCGTATGTATTTTGGGTCATCAAAAACTCAACAACAGCAATGGCTCAGACTCGGCCCAGTACCAACTCGGCACCTATCCTCCCTGAATAGGCGGGTTGCCGTATTGAAAAGCGTCCGTGCAAGGCACGCTCAAATAGAAAGTCAAACAGCAGCCTCCACAATGTGCTCGCCGATCGGCCATTCAGACGGTCACGGCTAACAAATCTACGGCACTGTGTAATCGGTGGTTGGGTAAAAAAAAAAGTTTGTGAAAGCTTGCAGGGCAGATGTAACGCCATATTTTGACCCCCCAATGTATATGCGTCGCAGAGTAAGCCGACAGAATGTCGTCAGACGAGACTGCCGACGTCCCCAACAAACGCATATACATTCGAGGCCGACACACCCAGCCGCGACAACTGCAGCCATTGCCCGACTGGTCCCCGCCGGCGCGACCCAGGCCGACCTGGGTTCGCGATCACGTGGTCAGCTGCAGACCAATTACTGCACGAGTCCGCGCCGCACAGCCCGCTCCAGCGAGAGACGCCGTGTCGCCACACAGCGGCCGCGTGTTGGCCGAGGAGAAACACGGGCGGTCGAGCCGGTACAAGCAGGCAAAAACACGATAAATAATAATTCACTTTGCCAAGTTATTAGAACTCATCCCAACCAAAATGGGGCTGAACATAAGTCCACTTCTGCAGTTCACTGGCAGTTCTCACAGGTCCTCGCAGGCCGCCGTCATGGCCAGCCAGATGGGCAGCTCTAGGGCGTCGGCCACCCGGCCGTACCCCTCGGCCGACAGGTGCACGCCGTCACTCCGGAAGTAGGAGGCGCACTCGGGGGCGAAGCGGTAGCGTCTTGCCGAGCGGCGCATCAGCTGCCGGCCCAGCAGGACCAGGTGCACGCCCGGCGGCAGGGAGTGCTTGAGGCGCCGCTCCTGGTGGTAGGCGGCCGTCGTCTCCCAGCCGTTCCCGGACGTTTCTTCAGACAGTCGCGGCAGCGGGCCGAGCACCGTCACCCGGGCCAGGCTCTGCAGGTGCCGACAGACAGCCTTGGCGAGCCGGCCCGTCTCTTCCAGGGTCTCGTCGAAGCCGGCGAGCATGGCTGACCCGCTATAGACATCGTCACCCGTGAGCCAAACGACGACCTCGCCCAACCGCCTCCCCTGTCTCTCCGCCTCCGAGGTCCAGCGGTCCAGGATGGCGGGGAGCTCATCGGCTGTAGAGGACCATGTTGCGCCACCTCTCGCCAGGCTCAGAAACTGGTGCCGGTTCAGCCTGGATCTTAGGCCGGCATCCCGCGCCACCGAGTCTCCTATAAGGAGGTGCAGCGGGGGCGCCGAGCGTGGCAGGCGCCGAGCGAGCCACCGCTGGGGCTCCGGGTCGGTGACCTCGAGCACGGGACTCCGAGCGACCGATGAGATGGTGTTAAACTGAGGGGAAAACAAACATACGTAAGTACGCACTAATTGTCGCCGGGCAATGGGCATTGTGCAGTGGGCAGCAGGGCCGCTGCCAAACGGCGCACAGATTCAGCCGCCAGACTGAACTTTGCCATCACACAAGCCCATTACTACTGTCCAGTGAAGTCCACGTAACCTTCGCGCTCGGTTTTTCGCGAATGACTCGCGCAAAAAGCGGCCGATCGCGACTTAACTTTCAGTAGCCTTGAGTTAATGAGTTTTACACATACTTTGAGAATTTCATGAACCTGACCCAAATAACCTTTGACCTGTGATGTGACCTATTTCTTGAGACTAGGTTTGGCCGGAATCGCGATTCGGCGTATGTCGGCTCACTTTATCCGCGCAGTTGCAGCCTTTTGTGTTTTTTTAACGTTCAAACATGTAGAATGATGTTGGTCCCATGCATTATGGTGTCAAGGTTACGTGAAGGTCAGGTCAGGTCATTGACCTTTGATGACCTTGGGTCCCTTTTCTAGTTTTACGTTTCTATGCCAGTTTTTGGAGCTGATTTCGAATTTAGAAACCATTTGAACATTTACGAAGTAGTTTCGGTGCCTTCGTAACATGCAACAAAGCTGCCAGTGGTGGTTGACACCTACTATGAATAGCCGGCAGGACCCCCTACTGGTTGACATCACCTGACCTGACCCGACCTGGCCTAAAACTAGCATGAAGACCTTAGCTGTGATCAAATTCATGAAATTTGTGATCAGCACCCCGAACACCGCCCCCCCCCCCCCCCATAACAGCCTCACTTTACGAAGATCTGACAGGTCCCGTTTTCTCGACTTTTGGGCCATTGACCTGGGAGGTCAACCAATGGCATAGGACCTTAAAATTCAGTAGCATCGTCTTCCTCTAATCACGAGCAAACACGCTCATTTTTTTCCGCGAAGCTCTAGCTCCATCAGGGACCGTTTATGGGGGGGGGGGGGAGTTCCACCCTATTCGTTAGCGGCTGGCAAAACACCCATACCGGCGAGATTTAACCTAACCCGCGCCACGCTAGGGCTCCTGGATTTCCACGTCTGCGGGGGGGGGGGGGGGTGTTGAACATCCCCCTCCAACTCGGCTATTGGGCGACGTAGCGATACGAGGAAGGCGGCGTTCGAATGAGCGTCAAAAATAATGACGAAGTTAGTCACGTTTTGGTCAGGTCAAAAGTCAGGTAACCAGAGGTCATCGAAGGCCAACTTTCGCCGATTTCCAGGTCGAATGTCAACAATTTTCCAGAAACCGGCGCATAACTCGAAAACCAATAGAGCTACCGCGCTCCGGAAAAACGCATTTGATAGCCCTTTTAACCCTATTAGTGGCAGGGGGGGTTGTTTTTATCCACCCCTCAGGTTTTTCGGGAATATCTCCGAAACCGCTGAAGCTACGATGCTGAAATTTTCTGACTTTTCCTAAAACTACATTGGGCACATTCCCTGAAAATTTCAAGTTCATAACTTTACCAGGGGCGGCTCCAGAGCACTGGGAATTGGGGGTCCTATTCCTGAAGCGAGTCATTTGGGCGAAGATCACGATGCTGCACCAGTTTTACGAACAGTGAATGAAAGGTATCATGTGATAACATATGCAAAGTTATTGTGCATCCTCTTTTGACACGTTTTTGCTATAATAGGCGGATCCAGGCGTCCAAAAAGGGGGGTTATTTTTTACCTCCCAACATAGGTGCCCTGACACCGCCTATGCATGACCAATACAATTTTAGTCGTTCTCTCATAAGAAAATTGTAACATAACAAGACCATTGCCACCCTTTTTAGAAACAGTACCAACAAAAACCTTATTTACTATACTTTTTGTGTACCCCCAATCTCAATGATCTGTATCCGCCTATGATTTTTGAAAATTCATATTTTTAGGATCCATGTGAATTCCTGGTTCGTTCTCTATCGATCGGCAAAAGTTGCGTTAAGATTGGTTCAGAAACCTGGCCGTGATAAACAGTCTAAAATGTATCTGCAATTTGCCCGTTTTTACCCCCCTCTACCCCCCTATTGACATTTTTTTTTTTAAGAAATGTAGATCTCGTTGAGCCACATCGAATGCCGTTTGAATTTTGAAAATCGGCCCGTTAGATCTCGAGATATCAAGGGGGGTCGTAAACAGCCCCCCCCCCCTGCCACTAATATGGGGTAGCCAGGAGCCTGCCACTAATAGGGTTAACCCTCTTTCTGAATAATTAGCTAAGATTTGATCTATGATCAACGATTTTGCCTGCAGGGGGCAAAACCGCCAAAATGGACGATTTCTCAGAACGTTTTTATGCAAGAACTTGAAGAAGAAAAAAAAACAGTGTACGAGCTAACTTTTACCTGCATCGTGTTTCCCTCGCCAAGACACATTAAATGAACTATAACGTGAAAGGTCATCTGGAAAATTTGACCTCTGATCAATGTCATGACCTGACCGGAAAAGGTAATATTGCCTATCTCGACGATCCGCATCGTCGAGCTGAGCACACCTAAGGTGTTTTTATTGCTCTAGCATACCTCTATCAAAAGTTATTCGCGAAAAACTGTTAGATACCATTCGTGACCCGAGATGACCTAATGCATGAGGGGTCACGGGCGCCATATTCCAGTTCAGTGTGTCATTTTTGCTATTAATACGGTGCCTTTTAAGTGTTTAGAATTACATCCAAAAGAGGCGCCTTTCAATTTTCTCCATTGACCCATTGACTTATCTCATTATTCAATTTTCGACCACTGACTCATTGACTCCACCGGTGCGACCCCATCCAACCTGCGGTCGATTTAATAAAAGGGCGCGAAATGCGACTAACGCAGTTTTCCACCCCTTCTGCTGCCCTTTACGCCCAAACGGCTTAATAAAGGGCTTGCGGATATAAAAACATGTTGTTAGCTGTGAACTTTGGCATCCAAACCCTGGAAGCGCCCCACCCAGACTGTGGGGCCGGGGCCGGGGCCTGGGCAGCGTGCTCTGCTTAGCGTGGGTTCTGGCTGTCACTTTTCATACTATCTCGCAGCTGTAGTTTTCGACTTCCCCACTGGTGGATCCCAGGGGTTAGAGCATTAGGGTCGAATGCCTTCATCGCAGCGTCTAATTCGATGAAAACTTCGTCGTTTTTTTCTAGTCAAGAAAGAGAGCATAACAAATTTATGAGGACAGATTTTCTTTTAATTGCACAAAAACAATCGAAACGATCTTTTTATTTGGAAAAACGTTTGGAGGGTGCGCCCCCCCCCCCCCCCGTAGCGTCCGAGACCGCCTTTCAGAATCCACCTTGGGACTTCCCTGTGAGAAGCAATTTTCTTACCGATTTCCAGCTTGCCTTTTATTACCATTTTGTTACTGAACAGTAAACACCCACCTGAGACCCCCACCCCCCGTCACTTATACAGTGATCTTTCAAGTTCGAAGGGATTTCAGTGCGAAAACGCGCATTTATTTCCGATACATTTTATAGAATAGCAACAGTGTGTAACGTGTATGTAGCCGTGTTGTATGGCTCCGGATCACTCAGCGATACAAACTCAGCGATGCATACAAATGGACTGTATAGTATATTGAACAGAAACAATACAAAAAACAATGTTTTGGGGAGTGCTACACCGGTTCAGAACACCGAGCTTTCCCCAAACAGCAGGGTGGAATATTTGACCGTTACTAGACGCAGACCGTTCCCGGCTAACACGTCTTTTGCACGCGGCACCTCTCCGGGTTACAAGCTCCACCTTCCACGCGAGCTCGCGCGGCAGGGCTGCGGCCAGGCGCCCGGTGCGCGGACGCTTCCCCGGCCCACGCACAGGGCTCCGAGAGGAAACATCAGTACACAAACTGTGTGACATACTACACACCGAGGAACAAAAACAGCATTTCTCTGGAACTAAGAAACATACGAAACGTTATCCTTCAGTCTACCAGGACACGCCGCGGCACGCAAATAAAACGCCATCGCATGATGTGCATGTGAGAGCATCCAGCACATTTCGTCACTAGAGCTGAATCAGATTACTCGATACCACACTCGATACCACACACTGCTTCGGCTTCTTTGCCTTCTTGGACTTCTTGCGCTTCTTGGACTTCTCAGATTTCTCGCACATCACAGACTTCACAGACGTCTCGGGCTTCTTGGGCATCTCAGACTTTACAGACGTCTCGGCCTTCTTGGGCATCTCAGACTTTACAGACGGCTCGGGCTCCTTGGGCATCTCAGACTTGACAAACTTCTCGGGATCCTTGGGCTTCTCAGACTTCTCAGACTTCTTGGGGGTCTCAGACATCTTGAGTTTCTCAGGGCTCTCAGGCTTCTCGGGTTTCTCGGACTTCTCAGACTTCTCAGACTTCTCCTTCTCAGACTGCTCAGACTTCTCGGACTTCTCCGAGTAGCCTACACGAAGCCAGTCAGGCATATGGCCCGCCAGTTTTAGGTACCCCAGAGGCGACAGATGCATGCGGTCGGGCGCGAACCATTTAAGACAGCCGTCCATCAGCGAGTGCCGGCCTTGAAACTTTCTTGTGATGCCTCGTCCCGGTTTCAGCAGCTGAGTGTCGGCGTTGAGGCTCTTTCTCAGGAGAGCACGCTCCAGGTGGTAGGCTGCCGTTCTCTCCCAGGCGGATCCGGGCAGGTCGGCGCAGTATCGCGGCAGGGGTCCGAGCACAAACACCCTGGCACACACTGCCTCCGCCGCCGTGATCACCTCTTTGGCCGTCTGCGCCACTTCCTCCAAATGTTCACGATCAAAGTTCGGGGGACGAGCGACGCCCGTGTATACGTCGTTGCCACTCAGCCATATGGCGCAATTGCCCCGGTCCATTCCTGTCTCTTGTACCATAGCAGCCCAGTCGTTGAGATCCTCTGCAATCTTCCCGAGTACAGATGACCATGTGGCTCCGCCTCTACAGCGACTGAAAATCTCGTCTTCAGGATCGGCGGGCTGAAACCTGGCTCTTTGCGCGAAGGAGTCGCCCAGTATGAGGTGCATCTTGCCCCCGTTCTTGGAGCGTAGGGGACTACTTCGAGAGTATGAGCTGGCGCCTGGACCACACTCTCGGTAATCGGAAGGAAGAAGCTGATCGTAATTCTTGAGCAGCTCAGCGATACGAAGTCCCTCCGCTTTGATGTTCTCAGCGGCCGTTTCCAGCTGAGTAAAAAGAAACTTCGTTAAACAATGACACCCGAGGGTAAAGTGCCAGCGACAGCGACAATGCTATTGCGGGAATCGAACAATGGATAGTGCTGTGAGCCAAAGGCGGTGAACATAGTGTTTACGTGCACCCTGTCGATAAGCAAGTCAAGCGTTTGATTATGCCAGACTAGGCTAATAGCATGTTGGTTGTCTTAGACGCCTAAGCGAAGGTCAGGTAGCTGTAGCGTTACCAGTGGCGATCGGCTGGCGAAAACTGAGGAGGCTGGGGCGGCAGCGTTCTGTACTGTTTCCTGAGAATTGGGCCGTGCTAGCACCATGTTTTCTTCAAGATTCGCCTCAACACTCTTCGGGGCTACTTCGGACACAAACATCGATGAATTGCTGATGGTACTGATGATGAATTGGCGTAATGGCGCACCAGCTACCAGGTTATATCACGCCCAGTTGTAACGTTACTTCCTCAAAGCTGGGGATTTAAAGCACCCGTAGTCCGAAGGCCGTAATGAACGAAAGAAAGAGTACCGGAGGAACCAAACGTAGGGGATTGTCACCAACGGGCATGCTCAGTAAGAGCTGAGCGACACGCAGGCCCGGTCAGATTCAGTCTCTGGCACTCCATCAAGACAATTCGGACCGAAAGTTGTCACATCTCACACAATAAGGTTTAGAGCTGACGCCAATAAGGTGCCCATAGGTACCGGTGGGTACCTGGCCGGTATGCCCGGTACAAGCCGACGGAAGGTAACCTCCTCGCGTCGCGATCTGCCAGAGGCCGACGACCAAGTTGCCAAACCTGACACCGCGATAACTTATCCCGGAGTGAGGCTGACGACCAAGTTGCCAAACCTGGTTTGATACGAAATAACTTATTCCGGCGTGAGGCCTACGACCAGGTTGCCAAACCTGGTTTATCAAAGCCTCCTGCCACTTCCACTCCCGAAGGAAGTTTGCTACCAGGTCGGCGAGCACGCCCAGCTCATAAAGCGATGACATGCCGCCCGTGGGTTTCAGTCGGTGCACGTAAACACATGTTCAACCCTCTTATCTCATAGCACTGCTCAACATTTGCATTATCATTGTCGCTGTCACTAATACTTCACCCTTTATGTGTCATTGTTTCACGAAATGTACTTCTTTCTGGCCATATTTGAAAAAGACCCTGACTTCTACCTGGACTCGTACTCGACTAGTACTGAGGGCAAGGGTCACCGCCCAAAGTCAACTAGTCCTGGTGACAGAAATCTGTGCCATCAGGCATGCAATTATTACATTTTCCCGCTCCTACCGTCCGAATAATCACGGTGTGACAGGACACAGCGACAAAATCAACGCCCCGATACCCGATTCGGTCACATCTCATAGCATTTTCAGCCACGGACCAAATCACCCAAACCCCACGCCCGACGGCAGCAGGACCTACCTCCTGGATGCTGTCGTCCTGAAGCACCGGTCGCACATCCACCCTGATGTAGTGTCGAGGCGTGGGCTGCCAGTTCTTGACCACCTCTCGGATATCATCCAGAGATCGGCCGTGGATGTTCCGCTTGTGACACGTGGCCACATCCATGTCCATCTCGGCAATGTACACCTAGTGGACACGGAGGGAATAGTGATTAGCAGGGAGTCGGCGAGCAAAAAAAGATTAGCTATACATCATGTAGCACGACCTTGAGTATAACGTACTTCATAATTAACACACGACGTGAGCTACGACTAAATTGTATCATTCAATACCCGCACTCCTTCAAAGAAAAACCAACAAAGTCCATCAACTACCCTCCATCTCAGCTCAGCCCACCCAGCATATCCTCCTCCGGTAAACCATCCCCGGAACTGCTCAGTATTTCCAATAATACCTGCCCTCCGCCAGCCATACGTCATCCCCAGTCATCACATCCATGCCTCAGGCCCACCACCCTCATACGCACCTTGAAGCCGCGAGCGCTGGCGTACGAGCACATCTCGTCGTACTGATTGGTCCGCGCGTTGACGCAGTCAACGATGATGAAATGGAAGAAGCCCTCGTCGACAGTCTTCCTGAAGACCTTCCGTAGCGAGACGCGGTACGATTCCTCCACGGCCGCGTCGTACTCATATTCCATCACCTGCGGAAGGCGGGGAGGTCAGAGTCAGGTCATCACGAACACATCATAGAGTGATGAGTGGTCGGTTCGACACAATAGGGTGGCATGCAAGGCCATGGTAAAGACAGCACCGCCATTCAAACTGGCGCAAGGCGATTCAGCGAAGCTATCATAATACTAACAAAGCATATGTTTCGTGGCAGAATACCTACCTGGAACACAAAGCCTCGATACATCCCTTCACCCCGCCAGTCAAATTCATCCTCTGATCCTGGTTGATAAACGATTACGAGTATAAGTACAGCGGTTCGCCTCCGTTACCTTTTTGGTGACCTTCTTGCCGGTGTCTGGGTCGGTGACGGCTTTCTCTTTCTCCGTGCAGAAGTAGTCGTCCAGGGAGAGGATGCGAGGCGCGCTGCCCTTGTTCGCCACCTCCTGGTCCTTGATCAGCTTCGCCGTGTACGTCTTGCCTGCGGGGACAATTGAAGTAAAAAATGGACTGGCAATTGGTACTGTGGGAGCATAACTAAGCACGTGACCGAATGGAATAAAAAGCTGGCTGAAGGTTTGATTAAGGCCAGCTGCTTGTGACAGTAACAGTCACAAGGCCGGCAAAAATATTGCTATCTGTGCATCGTTTATCATTCTCAATGCTCTAGACAGGCATAACTATGATAATCGCTCAAATTTTTAGACCAGTTATTTGCCGCCAAATCTAATGCAGTTTTTTTTTTGTCAGATGACTGCTGTCCGTTCATCCAAACAACATACGCCCTCAAGTCCATGAGTTTCTCACCCGATCCGGGCGGCCCCCTCAGTATGATGACCAGGTTGGAGGGCCGCGTCAGTCGACCCGGCGGCTGCAGCAGATCCTTGACGTTCACAGTCGGGAAGAGGGGCTCCGGTTGGGGTGGAGCCGGGGGGTTGGCCGGGGGAGCGGGAGGAGCAGGCGGAGCACGCGGAGTCGGGGAGCCCGGGTCCTGCGGCACAGCTCCCGGCCTGAGGGTGAGACGGGGGAGGAGGTCAATAGCGGATACTTACTGTTACATTAAAGAAAAAAAGATAGCAACGAAAAACTCGCACCAGGTTCTAAGGTAACTATTTTAAAATGAGAAACTGACTACAAGACGGAATATGATGGATCGAAGATCATATCATTAACCCGCGCCCGGCTGGGGGTCCTGGATTTCCACGCCCTGCTGGGGGGGGGGGGGGTGTTTGAACACCCCCCCCCCCTTATAACTCGGCTCCTGGGCCACGTAGCGATACGCGGAAGGCGGCGTTCGAAAGAACGTCAAAAATAATGAGGAAATTACTTCGGTCAATTTTTTGGTCAGGTCAAAGGTCAGGTCACCAGAGGTCATTGAAGGCAAAATTTCGCCGATTTCCAGGTAGAATGTCAACAATTTCCAAGAAGCCAACGCATAACTCGGGAACCAATAGAGCTACAGCGCCGCGGAGAAGCGCATTCGATAGCCCTATTAACGCCCATTCTGAGTAATTTCCTCAGATTTGACCTAACGTCAACGGTTTTGCCTGCAGGGGGCAAAAACTGCAAAAATAGCCGATTTTTTCGGAAACAGTTATTCTGCAATAACTTTTGACCCAAACCTTGTACGAGCTTACTTTTACCGGCATCGTGTTCCTCTCGTCAAGACGCATCGAATGAACTATAACTTGACCTTGAAAGGTCAACTTGAAAATTTGACCTCAGGTCAAGGTCATGACCTGACCGGAAAGGGTCATGTTGCATATCAGTCGATCCGTATCGTCGAGCTGAACACATCTAAGGCGTTTTCATCGCTCTAGCATGCCTCTATCAAAAGTTATTTGCGAAAAACTGTTAGATACCATTCGTGACCTAAGATGACCTCAGGGCATAAACAGGGGTCACGGACACCATTTTCATGTTCAGTGTGTCTCAACCACTTGTAATTCAATGTTTGGGAGTATTTATAACGCCTTTCGTCCAAAAGAGGCGCATTTCAATTTTCTCCCATTGACTTATAATGGGGAGGTCGCAAAATTGACCTGACCTTAGGTCATCGATATCAGAATTCTGAGATATACATTTTGTACATGCTATTGCTCTTAGCAATCGCTGAAAGTTTCAAAGCGATCGGTCACTCGGTGTAGCTATGACAGACATTGAAACTTTTTATGAGGTGAGGTCACTTCAAGTGACCTGGTGACCTGACCTTGAATGACCTTGGTCTGAAATTTTCACATGTGTAGAATTGATGTATGATAAGGTGTACCAAAAACGGCGGCGCTCCGCGCCGCCGTTTTTGAGATATTCGCGAAAAACCACAAGGGGGGGGTGTGTTCAAACACCCCCCCCCCCAGCAGGGCGCGGGTTAAGCATAATTATTGCTCATCATTTGGCTGATAGCTCAGCGCGCTGAATGCTACCAATATTACCCCATAACCAGATTACCTGACCCGCTGAATACAATGACACCTCGTCCAACTCACCTCACCCAGCGGAAACGATCGTCGCCGCCTCCCGGGCCCCGCGGCCTGTCGTACACTACTCCGCCACCTCGGCCCCTGCCCAGGCCCGGACTCCGCGACCGCACCCGATCACCCGGCCATCGCGGCCGGTCAGACGGACTCAGCGATCGGAGGGGCACCTCGCGCGGACGACTGTACGGACTCCGTGAACGACTGTACGGATCCCGTGGCCGGTCGTAGCGATCTCGATGCCTGTCGTGCGGAGACCGTGGTCGGTCGTACGGGTCTCGCGGTCGGTCGTACGGGTCCCGTGGCCGGTCGTCCATCCGCCGGCGGTCGTCGTACGGAGGTCGGCGGTCGTCGAAGGGCGGTCGCCGGTCGTCGAAGGGCGGTCGCCGGTCGTCGGAGGGGGGTCGCCGGTCGTCGGAGGGAGGCCGCCGGTCACGAGGAGGCGACCAGCGGCTGCGGCGCGGGGGAGAGTCGTAGCCACGCCGCCACGGGCTGCGGCTGCGGCGCGGCGGCGAACGCGACCGCGAGCGCGGCCGGTGTCGGTAGGGTGAGTAGCGCCGCGGAGACCGCGTGCGGGAGCGGAACCGTGGCGAGCGGGACCGACTGCGCCGCGGCGGCCGGCCCAGGTCGGCGTAGTCGTCCGGGTGGCTGGGGCCCAGGCCGTAGCCGTCCGGATCTGTAGGCAGGAGACGAAAAGAGGTGACACTGCAGGCAAACTATAACGGCGAACTGTGGACGTAGAATGCCGTACTTGCGTGCGATTTGCCACACGATGGTATGAGCTTCTCCAACACGTTCATGTTGACTGCAAGCTACTAAAGCAGTGAGACCATCAAATGCACCAGCACCATTAACTTTGAATCATTCCCAGCCCTCTACTCAGCCATATCTACACCTTTTTATCTACACCTTTGTACACCTTTTTTAAACCCCACATTTGTTCTCCCGTGAAGTTCAGACAAGTTGTTTAGAAACCTTCAAAAAAGGTACAGTCACTCGATTTTTCTCAAGTTTGTCTGTCTTGGCAGATCAAGCAATGCCAGAGCAAGCTTACGAACACACAAATTTGATCAGGATCGGACGATTGGACACTTCTAAAAAGAGATCTTTCGTGCTTCCCGAAAATTCACCGGAGAACAGATGTGGGGTTTAAAAAAAAGGTGTCGATATATGCCACACTCCCACCTTGTCTATCTCCCCACAGATCGACTCACCTCTGCCGTACGAGTGGCGTCCGGGCGGCGGCGGCGGCGGTGGCGGGGGCGGTACCGGCTCTGGCACACCCAGACCCACCAGCCGGTCAGCAGAGGCGATGGAGGAGATGGACTGCTCGCGCACTGGCCGCGTGAACGCCTCGTACACGCTCTCGATGGCGTCTTTGAGGGACGGCGGCGGACCGCCACCTGCGACAGGGCAGGGCGTCAGCGAGAGCCGGGTGGCTGGTTCTGTGGTTTGAAGATTGTTCAAACTCAACCCTGCTCAGGTGTTGTCTTAAATGCACAACAAACAGCTATTGAGTTCTGAGAAAAGCTGATCGTAGGCGCCTGTAATCATTAGTGTGTGTGTGTGTGTTGTGATTCCATTTATCTGCTAGCATAAATTAGAACGACTGAAGAAGACCGCAACACATAAATGACCCCTTCAAGTCAACACTAACAGGTAACTTTCTGAGCTAGTCACTAACCGATTCTGACTGCACTTTCACAGAACATCAAACTACCCTCCTCCCCGGCCCGACCCAAGTCGACCCGCACCCAAGACCCCCGCCTATCGCCTCACCGTCGAACTTTGAGACCACATCTAAGGCGTTTTTGTGGCCGTAGTCGATGACGGCATGGTCGTCGCCCTCGGCTCCCTTGTCGGGTCCACCGCTGTGAAGGCAAACAGAGCAGTCAGGCGGCTGATAAGACGACGCTTCGTGTAGGCGTGGGGCGGGCTGGGAGATCAGTGAGCGACGAATACAAAATAATTAGCCACAGCTGCTGCTCAGCTGATACTGGACGTGTGACCCGACTGGTTCTCAATGGTAAGACCTGCGTCGGAATCCTGCTAATTACTGTTACCAGATTGAGAACGTGACAGGTCACGGCGAGCTAACTAAGCCAGCGAGTTCATGACTGCATGAAGTTTATGGGGTCAGTGTTATCCTGACGATTTAAATAAAGTGGCATTGCACGGTCCTCACGGGTGCAGTCTTGGCCGAGTGGTTAAGGCGTCAGACTCGAAATCTGATGGGGTCTCCCCGCGCAGGTTCGAATCCTGCAGGCTGCGGAGGTTTTGAATTTATGGCAAAAGGACATCACAATAAGCAGATAAGTATACGCTATCCTCAACTCGGCGCACCTCACACGGCGGGGCGTTTTCGCCGTGCTCGAAGCAACGAGTGATTACTGACTACCATCTATACGCAGCGCTCAATGTTACGATTCGATTTCTTGAAACAAATGAGACTATCCCCTGTCAATGCACTCCAACAAACTATATAGAATCCTACGCTAAGCGCGGTAAGCGGCCGATCAATTACGCCCGCGGATCGTCATAATTTGAAATTTCATAAAACTTCACTTCTTGCAGGCGGCCGGTTGCGAAGATGCAGATATATGTATTAGTTTGGTTTCCACACGTAAACAGTCAGGCAGGCTTGGTGGACGCTAGAAGCGACTGTCATAGGAACCAGACCCCGACATCACTACAACCGGGGCTAGTCTCCTTACCTGGCATACGGCGCAGACGAGAACGGGCGTCCCTTGAGCCCTCCACCGAGGTCCTGCCACGAGTCTGCGGACTCTCCCGGTCGATCTCCGCGGCTCTCCCTGGGGCCGGTGCCGCTGCGAAACGAACGGCGTGCACAGGAGTCAGTCGGGGAAATAGATAGTCCTGATATGATGGAACAATGTGGAGGGCCACTTGTTACCATACGGCAGAGCTGGATAATGCACGGCAACGCAATGTTAAGACAGCAGTATTAATAATATGCTAACCTAGGGGCTAGGACTACTTGACAGTAGTGTGTATGAGTTAAAAATTAAAAAAAAAAACTGTCGCGTATCGATTACTTTGCACCCAGTTCTTCCATTAACTCACTCGTCGGCGTAGCCGTCCCAGTCGTTGTAGCCGCCGTCATAGTCGTAACTGCCGGGGTCGGCTGGGTCATACGGTTCGTCTCCGTATCCTCCTCCAGGCCCTCCGCCGCGGCCAAACCCGCCACGACCCCGGCCGCCGCGGGGCCCACCGCGGGGTCCACCGCGCGGGAAGCCGCGGGGTCCTCCGCGGCCACCGCGGCCCGGGCCGTAACCACCCTCCTCCTCATAGTAATCACCGTGGCTGTAGTCATCTTCAGCAGAGTAGCCACCACGGCCGCGGCCGCGGGCTCCCCGGCCCCGGCCGCGTTCATGTCCGTCACCATCGTAGCCGCCCCTACCGCGGCCTCTGAATCCTTCATCGAGCCCTCCCCGGCCTCGTCCACGGCCCCGGCCGCGCCCGCCGGGTCCGTCCCACGAGTAGTCATCGTCCTGAGGGCCGCCGCGGTCTTCAGCGCTGTACCCGCCGCGGCCGCGTGCGCCTCGCCCCCGACCGCGGCCGCCACGACCGCCGTACGCTCCGCTCTCGCCGTACTCCCGGTCGTAGCCGGAGCCTTCGCCGTAGTCCTCGCCGTAGCCGCCGTGTTCGTCGTAGTCGCCGCGCTCACCCCTGCCCGACTGTTCCTCGTCTGTGACAGAGGGGGAGCGGTGCTCACGTCAGAGGGGGAGCGGTGCTCACGTTCGGGGGTGAGGGACATGACGAAGGACTGCTACACGGCAGCAATTCGTCGGTTATTCATGGATTGATGGAAAATAGGGAATCATAGGTCGATTCTAATTAGTTAAAGTAACTCAAAAACAGAGAACAAAACGACAACTAGTAGAAGTAAAATGGTACAGCTTACGTCGCATACTAGACAACTAAGCAAAAAAAAAAAAAATGACACATTTTATTTCACATACAGGAAAGCACCACTGGTAACACAATACACAAGGAAGCATCTAGCTCAAAACGACCAATCCATCCCTGTTCAATCACGTACGCCCTCACAGCCGACAACCGACTCACCGAAGCGGCCGGAGCCGGGTGCTCGCGCTGCAGCGGCGCCAGGCCCGGGTGCGGCGGCGGCCGGCGGCGGAGGCGGCAGGTCCGGTGGCGGTGTCTCGCCGCGAGCCTTGGCCAGTTTCTGAGCCAGCCGTCGCCGTAGCTGTTCGTGACGCTGCAGCAGCTTGTTCTTCATCTGAAGCATCTCCTCCTCGTACGACCTGGGCGGGGTGGCGGGGAGATGGTAAATAAGAAGACGACATTAAACGGTGAGAGGACAGCCATGCGACGATGGAGGGCTTAAGGCAGGGGTCGGCAAATGGTGGGGCAGGCCCCCTTTGGGGGTAATGGAGCCCCTCGGCGGGGGGTAATGGGGGCCTCTGAGAAAGCCGTATCTTAGAATTAATGTCTCCCTTGATGGGACAGACATCACGCCTGTTTGGTCTCAGGGTTCAAAAATCGAACGCTAACCGTCGCCCCTCTATTGGCGTTTTCATAACAGCTAAGGTAAACGGGGAGGGGCCGGTCGGACCCCAGCCTCTCGGCCTCTGAAATATGAGCTGGAGCTTTGCGTTAGAAAAATGAACGTGCTACCCGTGACGATAGGAAAACGCTGCTACCCAATTTTAACCTTCGCACTTATAGGGGACCCCCCTTTTCCTCGGGTTTTCGCGAATAACTCGCGCAAAAAGCGGCCGATCGCGATGACATTTTCAGTACAGGTTTATCAATTTTATACATTGTAGCTAGAATTTCGCAACCATTTGAACATATACCAAGTAATTTTGGTGCCTTCGTAACATGTTACGAAGCTGTCAGTGGTTGTTGATGCCTACTATAAATACCCGACAGGACGCCTATTGGTTGACCTGACCTGACCCGACCTGGCCTAAATGCACGAAGACATCTGTGATCAAAACTTAGATAAAATTCGTGATCAGTACCCCGACAAACTCCACAACATCCTCACTTTACGAAGTTCTGACAGGTCTCGATTTTCCGACTTTTTGGGTCATTGAGCCGACCTGGAAGGTCAATCAATGACCTAGGACCTTAAAATTGCGTATCATCAGCTTCCTCTCGTCAGGGGCAACACGCTCGTTTTTTCCGCGAAGCTCATGCTTGATCAGGGGCCGAACGACAAATAGGGGTCCAACGAATTTCTCCCCCCCATAAATTAGCGGCTGGCAAAACACCAATATGGGTGACGGTTAACTTCCTTGGCCATTGGGTGACTTAAGACTTTCAAAGGGTCAATGACAATTGTGTAGTAGATCAGAACCCGCTGTACCTTCTAGAATTGAAATTTTATGACCTTCCATGATCTCAAGAAACAACTGCCTAACAAGTCAACAGTTATTTCTGTCAATGTATGACATGTTTTATGGCAGATAAAAAAAATGATCGGCTCGAGGGTAAAATTGTGTCGTGATCCGACGTTTTTACATAATAATACCCGAAATACCCAAAGAGTCACGGAAAGGTATAGTGAGCTCGGTTGTGTATGCAATGGTGTCTGGTAGGGTGGGGGTAATGGCCCTGCCTGGCGCCCGAAAAGGGGGCACGACCCCGGAGGGCCTGCCGACCACTGGCTTAAGGTAAGAGGACGGCGAGATGAGGATTAGAATATAACATCATGACGGTGAGAGGACGGCAGGGTGAGGGTGAAAATATGAACGGATGAAGGTGTCGAGGGGATGAAAGAATGACGCTAAGAGGATGGCGGGATGAAGATGGGAGGATCGCGAGGATTCAATGACAAAACAAACATCGCTCAATGTACAACTAGGAACTCCTTCAGAAAGAGCTGAATATGTTCCATCCAGCATCACTATTCACTAATTCTTTGACATTCACGGACACAGGATCTCATAAGCTCTGGCAATCCCTGTGCAGAGTGCCACCACGTGCCTACCTGAGCTGAGACTTATCGGCGTGTCCTCTGTTCTCGTTCTTCCAGCTGTTGAACTGCTCCTCCCAGGCCTTGAACTGCTTGTCAAACAGCTCGTCCGCTCGCTGCAGTTGGCGAATTTCCTATGGAAGCGATTCACTTCTGTCAGTAGCAGTCCTACTGGGAGCAGGCAAACCACGAAAGAACATAGACACAATCAACAAAACAAGTCAGAAACCACGGCCACTGACAGCGGACCAGCATTAAAGATTTAACCTGTTAACCTGATCAATGACAAGAATTATATGTTGTTTATGGTTCACGTGAACATTACAAGTCTAAAAATGCTGAAGCATGAAAAATCAGTCGGCTCCGCCATACTCAGTGCACTTGAGTGCCCTCTCTGGACGTGCGAGCGGCGCCATCCCAGCGCGCTAATACAGTACCTGACTGGGTCCATCAGCACAGTCTAGGTACCGTACTAGCACGGAGGGAGGACGCGCCAGGTGACAGAGGTGTCGCGCCAGGTGTCGTCCAGACGATAATATCCGACATATCCCACATATAAATCCCAGCATCTTCCGGCTCGCAACGCTGAGTAGTGTTGAAGCCGAGTACAGCTTAAATAACATGAGACAGCAAGGTACACAAACAACTAACAGAAGTGTGACATTGTGTGGCGGTCATCATGACTCACCTCCTGCTCTTTGGGTGTGAGCCGGGAGATGGCCGCCGCCGACTCAGCCACCGCCGCGGCTGCCGAGCCGGGTACAGGGGGCTCCCGGCGGACCTGGGACTGCGCGGCCGGGCCCGGGCCCGCGCTGGGTGCCTGTCCGGGGGCCTTGGCAGGCGGCTGGACGGGCCGCGGTGCCGCGGCGGACGCGCCGGGGGCCGAGTAGGTGCTGCCTGGGGGAGCCAGTCTCGGAGCGGCCGCCAGTCCGGGGACGGGCGCCGGTACCGGAGCCGGAGGCGGCTTCTCAGCCGGGGCAGGCGGCCGCGCAGCTAGCTGGCCGGACAGCGCCGCGTCATGGGCAGCCATCTGCAAAACAGAGCGGAGTAGAGGTCACCTCTGAGAGGCAACGTGAAATCATGTTTCTCAACCAATAGCACATAACCTTGTTACTATGGAGCTACTTCGTCAAGCTATACATATACACAAGTTAGTTAACTAGCCAGATGAGCCATTTATGCTGTTCTTTGAAGGCCCACAACGTTATCGAAAAACGTACATGCTGAACTAACGTAAGCAAAAGCATCAGATATCGAAAATCAAAGGCGTGGAGCCCAACGCGCTTCCATAGGAACAATGAAGGACCCTGACACTTACGTTTGAAGAATCGCCTCCATTAGTGCAAAATTATAAAAGGACGATAGTGGTTGCAATCAAGGCCCTAAAGGTTGCAATGGTCACATACTTGGCTATAAATGCCACTACTCGTTAGCCTCAAAATTCCGTAAGGTAAGACGGTCGCCGCGGCTCACCTGTTGCCCCCACTGGGCGGCCGCCGCCATCTGCTGCTGCTGCTGCTGCTGCTGCTGCTGGCCGTTCCAGAGGTGCTGGCCGGATGGCAGGTAGGCCTGGCCAGCGCCGGCTCCCATCATCATCCCGGGCTGCTGGTAGGCGCCCCAGCCGGCCGCCGCGCCGAACTGGCCCCCCGCCTGCAGCGCGCCCGCCGCCGCCGGCTGCCACAGAGGGGAGGGGGAACCCGGTGAGCTGCAGCCGAGCTACAGAGGCGACACTGAACGGACCGCGGCATCCGCAGGAATCAAACACCAAGGATCTCGATAGTAATTGAGCCCTGATTGAGCCTTCAAAATAAATGGTGATTACCTCGTCATCCTCCTCCTCCAGTAGTTGTTCGTGTAAGCCACGGAGGTTCCTTGTTAGACGCCGAAGGTCGTTTCGAACGCGAACAAAACGGTCATAGTCTACGGGGTCTTGTGAACGCAAGTAGCGTAACCAGAGTTTCCTCTTTCTGTTTTTCATTGTCATAGCCTCCCCAGTCATGTACACTTGCTTCTGACCAGTCCTCTGTAATAAAATACATTGAAATATATTAGATGCTAGGAAGTTCTTTTGAGACCCTATTTCCAGCATTTATTTTCAAGAAGTATGAACCCACTAGCTGAACCATTTAGCAATAATGTCCAAATCTTTCATGGATAGAATGTGCAATTTTTCCTTGCTTTCAACCTCGCCGGCCGCCAACCCCCCCACCCCCCTCCTGAGTTATTTCGCGATAGCTAGAACACACTGGCGATAGAGAGCTGAAACTTGGCATACCTGACCTTTGATTCAAGCCGGATCTTTTTACACCAACCGCATTTTCAGGTCAGGTCAGGTCACTGACCTATGACGTCATTAGCAAATCTCCGCACGGTCCTGCAATGTCTTTGCCGGTGCAATTCATCTTTTGCCGGTCGAAAGTTTTCAGAAAAATAAGTTTGTCGCAAGTTTGCGAAGCCCTCAGTGCCAGATGCGCTTTTACAGGGAGATGAACTTGCAGAGTTCATCCTTGAGAAGCCTCACAATTTGTACATGTCAGATTTTTTTCTAAAGATACATGAGGTCAGGTCGGCCACGTGACATCTGGGCTATGGGGAAATATGGAAACTGTTATTTTGGCGCCGGGAATAATCTAAAACTATCTCAAGCACACGGAATCGTGATTCCGTGCACTCCTTAGTCCTTGCAGGGTCCGATGCTTCGCTTTTGCATTGTAGACCGGGCGTGACGTCATTACGTCACTAAACTAAGATCATATCCGTTTTTCGTCAATAATTCTCGACCTAGTGAGCTACCGACCAACTGAGCTAGCGAGTCTGGAAACCCACCAATGGACCCAGGAAGACCTGCCGAATCGAATGATATGCGATATGACCTCCTCCGTCCAACTTCGTCACCTGATGGGCTCTGACCTGACCTTGTCTCGAGGTCAACACCTTAACCCTCGCCCGTTTAGCCAGTCGCGAACGTATGGGAGGGGGGGGGGGGGGCGTTGGACCCCCTCCTGCCTTGCCGCCCCTGATCGAGCTAGAGCTTCGCGGAAAAAAGATACCCAATTTTAAGGCCCTAAGTCATTGGTTGACCTTTAAGGTCAGGTCAATGACCCTAACGTCGAGACAATAAGGGTTTGTCAAAACTTCGTAAAGTTAGGTTGTTATGGTTGAGACTATTAGTGAGGTTGTTATGGGGTGTTGATCACGAATTTCATGTTACGAATTTCATGATCACAGATGATCACAAGGGGCTTTCCAGCTGTCCAATCAAAATTACACTTTGCATCTCAGTGAGCGACGCTCCGCAGTCACTGTCGGATCCGCGGGGTGGAGGGGGGGGGGGCATTTTGGAAAAAATGTTCCCCGCAACGCCCGATATCAACGAAAATTCGCACTTTTTCGAGAATAAAACCAAAACTACACAAATCTTTAAAAGTTTTCTTCAAACTGCACAGCAGTGCAAGAGTCGAAATCCGGTGAGTTTTTGAAATTGAAGAAATGAAGAAATGAAATGAAGAAAAAAAAGGCGTACTTTCCAAATTCCAATACAAATTTTCAATTTCCAGCACACTAGAAAGGTGGTCTTGGAGTCAAATACCACCTTTCTGGATCCGCCAGTGTCAGCAGCCACTGTCCTAGACCTGGTCACACAACACCACAGTCCACACAATCCACACGATCACGATAACGTTCCACCCAGCTCTCCATTCAACCGCACCGCCCCTCTCTCGACTCTTCGGGCCGCCCCACACTGGACCTCGCATGCGGGTTGCGACTTGCGAGTCTGCGGGTTTTGGATTCTCGAGTATAATACTCATTCATGGAGTGATTAAACCATTCTCTTATGGTCACTACATCAATGCAGTGAAGCCGGTGCACCCTCAGACATTGCACATTATCGCAATAACAGCACAATGAACCAAAATTCGACTTCAACAAAACACACCAAAACTCGCAGCCCTCGCAGCGAGGAAAATCAAAAGTTGACTCAAAATCAACTTTTGGAATGCGATGCAACTTGGCTCGCATGCTAAAACCATGCAGACTCGCTTGTTACATGGTGATGTGGGCCACTCAACATAGAGTGCATTCTTTAATTTTCAAGAAACACGAAAACCCAAAAACTCGCAACCCGCATGTGCGAGGTCCAGTGTGGGGCGGCCTTTCCTCAGTCCGCACGCAGGACGCCGGCCGGCCAGACAGCGAATTATCCGCTCCCACGCGCTGTCAACCGCCGGTCTCCTCCAGCCAGCTCGTTCGAGTCATCCCTTGAAATACAACTGCACTGGCAACTACAGACTGCACTTCAGATGGACTCGACAGTGCTGTCATCTGCTTCCCTACTAGATAGTCGTGCCTTTCCCTACTTGAGTCGTGCCTTCGACAGCGTCGACCACGGCATCCTTCTATCGAAACTACAATGGTACGGTATCCACGAGAGATGGTTTCGGAGCTACCTGGATGGGCGACGGCAGGCGGTGAGAGGCGACTCCTTAATCCTTCCCCTTCCCATGGTGTACCTCAAGGCTCCCTGGTCGGCCCGATCCTGCTCAGCATCTCCACCAATTACCTCCCCTCCTATCTCCCACATGGACGGTTGGTTTCTTACACAGATGATACCCAGCTCCTTGACTCCGTCCATCCCGGACATCTACCCATCCTTAAAGCCCGTCAGGAGGAAACCCTTCTTACGGTTCAGTCTTATTTCACATCCAATTCCTTAAAAATGAACCCATCCAAAACAACCCTGCTCCTTACTGGCGCCACTAGCAACGTTAAGAAAACCTCGTCCTTTCACTTAAGTATCTCTGGTCATACACTAACACACTCTCCTTCCGTTAAGCTGTTGGGCGTGACGGTCGACCAAACACTATCCTGGGAAGCGCACATATCCACTGTTGTCAAAAAGTGCAATTCCATCCTTTTCTCGCTCTATATAATTCGACATCACCTTACCCCCGAGGCCCGACAGCTACTTATCCAATGTCATGCCTTCCCACATATCCGATACTGCCTCTCCGCCTGGGGCGGGGCCGCCGCATGTCACCTTCAGAGAGTGCAGAGGGCGATCAACTTTGGGGCCAGGATCGTGTTGGGGGCACCTGCGCGTGACCATATTTCGCCAATTCTGAAAGAGCTGGGCTGGCGTGGTTTAGGTGAGATGACCATTCACCACGACTGCGTCCGCGTCTTTGGCGCACTGAAGGACAAGCGAGCTCCCGTCGCGGTCCGGTCCTTGTTTGTCCCCGGGCCGATGTATCCCAGCGAACCACACGAGCGACATTGGCTGGTATGCTAGAGCCTCCGGGATTTCGGCTGGCCATGTCGTGTCGCGCCTTTTCTTGTCGGGCGCCCTCGTCCTGGAACCGCCTGCCGTCGGCCGTCACCAGCTCCGAAACGCGAGCAGAGTTTTTACGTTTACTGGATACGTGCTTTTTTATTTTCATGTGTTTTATGTGTGTATTTTAACTCATCGGTGTGCAATGCATCGTGTTTCTTCACCTTTTTCTTTTTTAGTCCATGTCTCAATTATGCATTTTGACTCAGGTATGACATTAACCCACCATGTGGAATGGCCTGTAAATATACTGTACTACGTATTAACCCTCGCCGGCACAGGCCATTTTGCGTCCTTCGACGGCACAAGGGGGGGGGGGGGTACGACCCCCCCCCCCTCGCGTTTAGCCCCTGATCGAGCTAGAGCTTCGCGGAAAAAACGAGCGTGTTGCCCGTCACGAGAGGAAGCCGATGATACCCGATTTTAAGGTCCTAGGTCATCGGGTGACCTTCCAGGTCAGGTCAATGACCCGAAAACCGGGAAAATCGGGACCTGTTAGAAAGTCGTAAAATGTGGCTGCTATGTGGTTTTCCGGGGTGCTGATCACGAATATCGTGTTAGTTTTGATCAGAGATGATGTCTTTAAGCATTTAGACCAGGTTGGGTCAGGTCAGGTCAGGTCAACCTGTAGGGGCTGTGACGGGTATTCGTAATACGTGTCAACCGCCTCTGACAGCTTCGTAACATGTTACGAAGGCACCAAAACTACTTCGTAAATGTTCAAATGGTTGCTAAATTCGAATTCAGCTCCAAAAACTAGCCTAGAAACATGTAAAACTCGAAAAAGTGAACCGAGGTCACCCGAGGTCACCAAAGGTCAATGACCTGACCTGACCTTCAGGTGACCTTGATACCCACTCTAATGTATGGGAGCAACGTCAAATCACATGTTTGAACGTTTGAAACCACGAAAAGCTTGCAAACGCGCGGCTAATGCGAGCCGACATACGCCGAATCGCGATTCCGGCCAAACATGGTCTCGGAAAAGAGGTCACAGGTCAAAGGTCATTTGGTTCAGGGTCATGAAATTTTCAGGGTAGGTGTAAAATTGATCAATGCGAGGGTACTGAAAGTTTCGTTGCGATCGGCCGCTTTTTACGCGAGTTATTCGCGAAAAACCTTAGGGGGGGTTGCATCCCCCCTGTGCCGGCGAGGGTTAAGATAGGTAGGTACTACTCTCAGAATTTAGGTGCCAGTCCCCAGATTTAGAGTAGACCACACTGAAGAACTAGTGCCAAAAACAGGTAAATTTGGTCATTTTTCACCTTAGGTGCTATTTATCACCAAAGGTGCTGCCAACCATTTTTAGGCTGAAACAGCTATTGAGTGCCAGAAACAGCTTTTCAAGAATGCATTTAAATGGCATCCACAAAAAAAATCTAGCCTGACCTATCCTTACCTACAAACCTACTAATCTGCAACCTACCAACCTACAACCTACATACCTACAGCCTACCACCTACCTACCTCACCTATAACCTTCCAACCAACAACCTATCTACCAACCTACATACCACTCACTCTCAGACTTTATCTTCACATATACCAGCTTTTAGAAGACTATGAGTATTCCAATTGAAAATATGTGAAGTTGGTGTTTTAAATGATCTGTTGCTTAATTCCAGCTTAGGTAACACTGGTATGGCACTGGTATGTGGGAGCACTGGTATGGAAAAATCAGTGATGTAACACTTCCCTCGCATCTCATTGGTCAATAGCCTGTTGCCAAGGCAACATGAACGGGCTAGCGCGCTAGCTAGGGCTGCTGATAAGGGCTCTGACTGGCCGCTAGCTAATCCCTGCCTTTATGCCTTTTTTACAGTGGGAGCTGTGGCGACCAGAGAAACTTGAACAGGCACCTGTGAGTTATGGAAGCAGAGTTGACAAGATACACCAGCTCTCACCTCTCACTCTTGAATTTCCCTAAATCACAAGAAGCCACTGCCACTCCAGCCAGGAGAAAAACTGCAATAGCCTGCAGTAGGCACCTTCTAACTTGAACCTTCTTACTATGGCATTGCCTTTGGCACTGCGCTGCTTCGCAAAAAGCAATTTGACATCACTTTCCTCACGGTTGAATAGCATTGTAATATGTATTCACTCAGCCTTGGAGCTTTTCCATTCAATGCAGTGCATGGCAGGTGGAATGCGCAGTCAGTGGAGAAGGACAGTGGCAACTGTCACTGGCAACAGTAGTCAGTAAATATTGTAGGTACCTATTTAAAGGGACCCTCCCACCTTCAAAAAAGTTAATGAATTGGCATGAAAGTGATGTCGCTCGATTCAGAAAGAGCAAAAACGAATATCTACCAAATTTCACCGAAAAATATTCACCCGTTTTCAAGATATTAGACTTTTACTTTTGTTTACTTTTTTGGGATCTCCGCTGTTCCTAGCGACTTCATTTTAGAAGTGCGGCGTTCGCGGCAGATGTTGCGCGCAAATAGCATATACCACCACTGCTTTACAAAGATGTTAGTATAAGGTTTTAAAATCGTTAGATTACCGCTGACGTCACAAATTCTAAGGGGGCATCTCAATGCATTAGCCCCTTAGAATCCGAAAACTGCAAGTTTGAAATTCCATATCTCCGAATTAAAGCATTTTTCGATGTTGTGAGTGCCCAAACCGGTATTTGCAGGCCATGGCCACCAATTTGGCTATCTCAACTCAAAACTAATGTTAAGGTGGGAGGGTCCCTTTAAGTATCAGTACGGAAAGACCACACAATTTTTTTGAAGCCTTTAGTTGGGGTAACAAATGGCATGCATAGTTGACTGAAATCGCCCATAACAAAATATTAAAATAAAAGCACTTACCATTAAAGGGTAGCCTGCATAGCCGGCTCCAGTTCCGGCGTTCGGCCATGCGTCCATCATCGACGCGGGCTGCGGTACGGGTGGATCTGCACCGATCCCTTGATTTGCCAGCGCCTGAGCGGCATTCGCCCAAGCCCAGCCGCTCATTTTGATCTTGAACTACTTTGGAGACACAGCTACCATTCAATGACTGGAAAATAATTAAAATAACACAGAGTAGCTGTCATCCTCCCTCACATCACCACGCCGCCATATCCAAAATTGCGACCAGTGTTGCCAGGTCTAGGGGGGTACGCTCCGGCTGTTTAGCATTACGAAAAATGGTGACAGACGTTTGTGGAGGATTGTCGACGAACTCTTGTTCCGCGAGCAGTACTTACACGCTAGCGGAAAATTCACCAATCAGCGCTCGGCAGTACTCGACGCTGATTGGTCCGACGCTCGTGACGAAATTGCGGGGGACCGCAGTTATTCTCTATGGACCCGAATAGGCTTTTGGATTTCGGAGGAGTTTCTTTAAAATTATATGCTGTTTGGAGCTGTTTTCGAGTTGAAATATATTTCTTATGACTGTTAGCTATATAATGACACCATAAAATCATGATTTTAATAAATATTACCGATGTAATATCGGCCGAAAAGACATGCTGTCATGGCACGGACTGCCCTGCGGCTGATGTGGGGCCCCTAGTGCCAGCGTATGGTAATAATGGGTTGACGAAGGGTTATTGGAGAAACTTAGAGCCCCTTTAGCATTCAGTATAGGGTCATCAGAGGCCGGGAATGTCCATCAGGGGTCTGAGTAGGCCTGTCATAGGGGCATACATGACACATCATGGCCCATGGGTCAATGTAGATCCATTAGGGGCCGTTGAAGGGCCATCATTGTTCAGCGTGGGCTCGCAATTACCTCTGATGGGCATATGCCGTGCCCCGATGGACTAACGCTGGCCCCTGATGAACCATCACCAGCCCCTGATAGGTCTACAAAGCCCTCTGCTGGGTCCAAATTGGTCACTGATATGCCCAAATGGGCCACTGAGATACCCGTACAACATCGGGCACATCCCCTGACTGCACCTGCTGGACCAATGCCGTCCCCTCATGGGCCCACCACAGCTCTTGAATGACCTTTTCAAGTCCCCTGAAGTGCCTTTATTGGCCTAAATGGCCCCTGATTGACTGATGTGGTCCCTATTGGTCCTATATGGCCCCCATGAGCCCTCAACGTCGGCCTAGACAGCCTTACATTATATGCCACTGGGCCCTGTTGGGTCAGCACCGGCCCCCGATAGGCTTGCACACTGGACCCACCGGGCCTATACCGACCCATGAAGGGTCTATGTCGAACCCTCACGGACCTCCGATGACCACACGCCGACATGTGTGGCCCCATCAGCAGTGGTCCGTCTATCCCATGTACTTACGGTCTTTTTGGCCGATGTGACACCGGTAGTATATAGAATGTCATGATTAAATGTCGTTATTACACAGTCAAAAGTCACAGAAAGAATATCCAAGCTCAAAAATGGCCTCAAACCCAACAAAAACTGGTATAAATCCCCTTCAAAAGCCGTAAGTCTATTAAAGGGACCCTCCCACCTTCAAAAAAGTTAATGAATTGGCATGAAATTGATGTCACTCGGTTCAGAAAGAGCAAAAACGAATATCTACCAAATTTCATCGAAAAATATTCACCGGTTTTCAAGATATTAGACTTTTACTTTTGTTTACTTTTTGGGATCTCCGCTGTTCCTAGCGACTTTATTTGAAAGTGCGGCATTTGTTGCGCGCAAAGCAGCATATACCACCACGTGCTACAAAACGTTTTAGTCAAACATTTAACGGACGTTCGAAAGCCTGATGACGTCATCAGATTCCCGTAATGGTTAAGAGATAGGGACCGCATATTTACGTCTGGACAACGAGTTGCGGGGAAAAGTGCTGATTGTGTTGCAGTTTTAGGAGCCGGTGATTAGGCTGGATTTTTGGGTTACTTTTTCGTTCCGATTCATGTATTTCATAGTGTTTGGCTTTTGAATATTTTAGTTCTTTCAGATAAATATTACTTGCCTTACAACTTTTGTTAAAACGTTTCATTTTTTTATAAGCCGACGTTCAGAGTCCTAAAAATACATCAGCACTACAATAATTGTAAACAAACAAATGGAGCACCACTTGGCTCTGTTCCAAGCGTTCCAGGGCCATATTTTAGTTTATCCTGGTGGTTTTCTTGCTCTTGTACGTCGTTTTGTTGGATGTTTTGAATCCCTTAAGATTAACTTATATCATATTTAAGAAGCATGTTGACTGAAAACAATCTGAAGTATCCAGGAGGCTGACAGAGGTCCTGACTACTGAGCAATATCAATATCAAGTTGAACAAGTTATGAAATTTTGGTTGATAAACGCAAGTTGATCAGGCTCATATATCAGCAAGAAAAAGTAAAATTAACAGAGCTTATTGTCCAAAAACAAGCTATAATATTGCAGACCTTGGAGCAATACTGAAGAGCACGCTGAGCAGGATCATGCCAGAAAATGTTGACTGATGAGCGCATATTGATGTAGGTATTGGTATGAATATTGAATGATAACTTACAACAGCAAGATAAATTAGTGCTAACTATCAAGTTAAAATCTAGAATGAATGGACTTGGGAAGTTTTACTATATGCTTAGATGCTATGCAGATTGTAATGTGCATCAGGTACCTACTCAGTGTCTGGCAAATGAAACATGCAATCATTCCATTGCTACTGGAGGAGAAAGCTTGGATCACTAAATCCACTTTATGTTGATTTTGATGTTAATCATCATCACTGTATTTCTTGAATAAAGGATTGTAGTAAAATTGTCAATGTGACAATCCATGCAACGATGTGATCATATTATGTGTTCATAGTCATTCGTGATAGTCATTATTGGTCCAATATACAATGGCAAAGCTCTCAGTCTCAGCGTTTCTTCCTGTGGATGGCCAGCAGTGACTCAGAGCTTAGAAGTATTAGTTTTCTTCACAGGGCTGGGATAAAAAGTACTGAGGGTAATCTTCCACCAAGGAACTATACTTTGACATGTTATGAGATGTAGGCACAAGTAGGTAGGTGCTCAGTTCCTATGGTTAGTAGTTGTGTATGTTTAGTCGGGTTAGCTTAGATCAGGTTGTTAGTTTTTTAATTTGCCAAATGTCCATAAAAATGTGACCTGAGCAATGAGCATACCTGAACCTAACCTGACAGCTGACCTAACCTCAATCATCACACATATTTGCAGCCTACCCAAGACCTGCATGGCAGTAGCACCCAGTTATAGGTGGGTACTCACCCTAACTCCATCTTACCTGCTAACCTTTAACTTGACAAAAGTTAGCTCACATTGCCAAGCTGTGTCCAGGGAAACAGTCAACTGACACTGAGGAACTGGCTCATTGGGTGGCTGGTGTGAGTCTGTGCATTTAAAGTGTTTCTTCTCTGAAGCTGCTCTGCACTGCTGTATGTCATGTTAGATGCTCAGAAAATGTGGGAAATGATTACTAAGCTACTTAAGTGCTTTGTTAATGCTCGAGACATGAACAAGTACAGATCCTGCAGGGTACAGCTATGAGATAGGTGCTAGGTGAGTATGTTATGTGAATGTGCTGTTCCCTGTTTGACCGTAAGTATACAAACAAGCACAGGGTCACAGTTATATTCAATCTCCACATAAACATACAACAAAAACGGCCATATAGCCTAACTCCGAACACACCACAGATAACTTAAGCCTTTGAAGGCACAAAAATGTTTTGATTAACAGGACAGGTTTACAACATATCCTCTGTCCTTGGGGGATCTTGCTGCCAAGTTGAGGTATGATGACTGAACTTCAGGATTGATCAACCTTTTCTTAGCCACTGCTTATACACGAGAAAGACCAAATGCTTGTTTGTTTTGATTTACAGGACATGTATACAATATATCCTCTGTCCTTGGGGGATCTTGCTGCCAAGTTGAGGTACGATGACTGAACTTCAGGATTGATCAACCTTTTCTTAGCCACTGCTTATAAACGAGAAAGACCAAATGCTTGTTTGTAAACTGTGTTGAAAATTTAATGATCCACCTTCAATTCTGACATTTTTTTTAAATTTAGTCCGAACCTTTTGATGGGAAGGATTCACAAGGACAGAGCCACCGCTAAGCGAAGCTTGTTGCGATGACCCTGCCCTCTACCCTCCGATCGCGCAATTCCGATTCTATGGCAGAATTTAGAGTCCAAAGTTTAACGTGCGCACAAAGCCGCGCACGGCCGGTCCCCTCGCTGACTTCGCCTGGCTACGGCCTGCCACCAACCGCAGCCATACCTGTCAGGAGGCCCATAAATGTCGAGCGCCCGTCGCGCTTCGAACCCGGACTGTCATAACCGGGAACGCGTGCTCTCACCACGCGGAGTCCAACGCTCTAACCAACTGAGCTACGGGACCGGCCTCCAACTGAGCTACGGGACCGGCCATGACATGAAGGCACAAATGAAATAGTTCCCTCTCCTTTTGGAATACACAAAGCAAAATATTTCATAAATTTTAGTGGATGGACAAGAGCAATTAGCATAGCTTCCCCTCAAGTTAACTTCTGGCACAATTTATCTTGCTGATTGGTTGGTTTGGGTTAAGCACCACATCCAGTGGACCAAGGTGCTAACCGGAACTCTCACGCTGTTCCAAGCGGTCAGGTAGCGGCAATGCCACGTGCATCGCCCGGGAATCGAACCCGGATGGCCGAATCTAGAGGCAAGTATTATCTTGCTGATGGTTGGTTGGTTTGGGTTAAGCACCACATCCAGTGGACCAAGGTGCTAACCGGAACTCTCACGCTGTTCCAAGCGGTCAGGTAGCGGCAATGCCACGTGCATCGCCCGGGAATCGAACCCGGATGGCCGAATCTAGAGGCAAGTATCTTACCCCTAGACCGGAATGCTCCCCGTTATCTTGCTGATGAATTTACACTGACGCTTATTCGCTTCATATTTTGTAACAAACGCGCTAAAACTGCAATATAACAGCACTATATGCTTCTTGACAAAATGCAATAGTATTAAAAATTTAGCCCTGATGGCATTCATTCTTGGTGGAAACGTAATTACAAAATATTTTGTAGTAACTATTAAATTCCGGCCGAAAACAGTGCTCGGTTTAAAAAAGAATCATTCCAATGACGGTCCATTCTTGCGGTCCTCAAATCGCCACTATTTCCGGCCTCTCCAACGCAACTCGTTGTCCA